TACTATAGGGGCCTCAATAATCACCTATACTATTTTGGGGGTTCCTGGGGTTCCTTATTATACTTGTATACTTCAAGCACTCTTGCTTGCCCTGCCCACCCTCAGCCGGCAATGTGACGGGTGCGGAGCGAGAGCCAAACCCGAATGACCCTCAGCCCTATACCCTTAATCTTAGGGGCTGGGTAGGTAACCTTTGACCGTTCGGGGCCCATATAGCCCTAGTATAATTCAAAAGGTTAACTTTTTTTGGGCAAGGGTACTCAGCCCCTAAATAGTTCTGAGCCCCTAAACCCTAAACCCCTAAACCCTAAACTACGCTACGTCACTACGCCGTAAAGCGGCCCTGAAGTCTAAAATCCTGAAGCCAGCCCTTAGAGCTCCACCCTGTGGGGGTTTGGTCGTTGAAGCTTTAGGGCTTTTTGCGGCATATGGGCCCGGAGGCATTTAGGGTTTAGGGTTTATGGAGCTTTAGGTTGAGGGTTGGCGGCTTAGTAATGAAGATTGGTGCCCCTGACAAAATGGCTCCGGGCCCCTCCCTCGCCCCCATCCCGCCCGCCCCCCCCAACATCCCAGGCCAACCTAGGGCTTGGTCCTGCCATCCTGATTCTGCTCCTGGCCACAGCTCCCGACTCAGTTAGGGTTCAGAGTTGAAGGCTTAGAAGGTTTGAGTTCAGATGAGTTTGGTACTCTCTTCTCAGTGATCAGTTTCGGAGGGGTTCAGCATTACATAGGCGTGGGCCTTGGGAAATGGCGGCTTCAGGGCTGCTGGCTTTGCGCCTTAAGCGAGAAGTTTTCAGAAGGTCAGTCAGCCAGTGTTCGATGTGCCTGCACAAGTATAGAGAGATTTTGTAATCGAAGCCGTGCCTTCCAAGAGAAGTCCCAGGTGCAAAGAAGACGGCTAAAGCTGCTTTTGAGTACTAAAGTTACTGAAGCCCTGGGCTCGTAAACTGTAAACCCCTAAACCCTAAACTCCAAAAACCCTAAACCCCTAAACCCTAAACTCCTAAACCCCTAAACCCCTAAACCCTAAACTCCTAAACCCTAAACCCCTAAACCCTAAACTCCTAAACCCTCAACCCCTAAAGCCTGAACCCCAAAACCCTAAACCCCCCAAACCCTAAACCCCGAAGCTCCAAGACCTGAAGCTGCTGAACCCAGAGCCCTAAACTCCTGAGCCTCCTGCGTACCTCCTCTGTTCCACACACATCCCATTTGGAGACTCGGGCAGGTCGTACAGAGCTTTGAGTAATGAGTAGGTTTAGGATTTAAGTTTAATTAATAGTGCGCTCGTTTTAGGGGCTGGGTAGGTAGCCTTTAACCTTTGGGGTTGTAATTTCCTACCACATTTGACAGGTCAGCCTTTTTTCCGGCTGGGGTACTCAAGCCCAAGCCGCAGATGTAGTGCCCATATGGTTCCATATCATAAAATCCCCCTTACAGCACTTCAAATTGTCAAGACTCCTATGTTAGACTTGTGGAATCGCAGCTACAGGTACTTGGTTCTACCCGAAAACCCGATAGTACATCTAGCTCCCCTTATAATACAGCCCCACCCTAAAAGCCCTATGGTTTCTCTAGCCTCCCTCCTAAGAAAGCCCTATAGAAAGCCTTTTTAAAGCCCCCCCGCGCGCCGGGTGTTCGGTTCCAGGTGGCCGTAGCCTTCTGTTCCGAGCTCCTGGTGGATTCCATCGAGGGGGTGACCGAGGTCAGGGGTTGCAAGGGAGGTGTCGAGGGTTCGAGTTTGGGTCTTTATAGATGATGGTTCCATTAATTTAAGGCTTTCTGGAGGGTTTGATGAGGTTCATTTCAAGGGTTCTAGGTCAGGGTTGCAGGGGTTTGAATTGGCCTTGTGGAGGTTTAGTGTTTCCTCTAGTTTAGGTTGGGTGGCATAATATAGGGGCCTGAACAATTACCTACATTATTTTGGGGTTCCTTACTATAATTATAGTATAGGTGATAATGTCAGTTTTCAGTTGTTTCTTTCCCTTCTGGAGTTTCTTTTGAGGTTGTTTCACGACTTTCTATAGAGGTGCTGCAAGGGGTTTAGGGTGCTTCTCACGGGACTTCTAGAGTTTATAGCAGGTTGAGGGACCTACAGGGTTTCGGGTTGAAAGCGCACCAGCCGAAACGACAACGAAGCTCAAGGTGTATGTGTGATATAGTCTCGATTGTAGTTCCTTTTTTGGGGTTTAACCAGTTCTATATTAAGGATTCTATAAGGTAACCCCAAAAAGGAACTACAATGGAGCCTATAGATATGATATATACGCCGGTAGTTGTCGGTTAACCAAGAAGAACACATGCCTTTGCACCGCTTCACATGCAGTACGTAGGGGCATTCCCCTGGCCAAAGGCCCAAACACGAAACTCTCGGAGGCTTTTCTTCGGGCTGTCGATTTGTTTATCTTCTTTGCTTCCCTGCCAGGATTATGGGCTTCCAGAGGCTGGGTGCTGCTTGGATGTTGTCGCAGTTCATGGGAGACCGAACAAGAGATACAGAGCGAGAGAGAGAGGTGATGCAGCAACGAGCGACACAGAGAGAGAGAGAGAGAGGCAGGCTAAGAGAAAACTATTGCACGCAAGCGAGAGACCGAAACAGGGAGGGAGGGAGGGAAGGAGGGAGGGGATAAGCATGCGAGCCCTGACAAGTACGTTCAAGGCTTCGTCCAGGACTAGGGGTTGGCCATTTAGGGATTTTGTGTTTGAGTTCAATGCTCAGAACACTGGTCGAGTTTGAAGCAAGTCTTGTTAAGTAATCGGTATGCAAGGATGTAGCATGTTGCAGGGGCCCTGAACAGCGCAGGTGGCTGCTTTGAGTACATAATCTCAAGCCGCATTTAACAAACACGTCATGTTGTCCAATGCTCTCAGGCTTTGTTTCCAAGCGCTCACAAGCTTCTGCAAGGCCTTCATAGGGGTCATCCTCCTTCCCATTGTGGGCAATGCCGCAGAGCATGCGACAGACGCGGCCTTGGAGTCCACTGTGAGATAGGCCAGATAGGCCCTATTCCCTTAGCCCCGTACTCCCGACAGACCCTGTTTCTCTTTTGGCTGTTCCGACTTGAAAGGGGTCGCGGCTCTGCTTTTTCGCAGCACTAGATTGCTGTGGCTGGACACGAAGTCTTTGCTTTGGTTGATGCAGGATGATGTCGGAGCTGGCATGTGCCAGCCATTTTCATTGTAGGACCGTACATTCCTGAATTCTAAATGCTCACACAGACTCACATCGAACACGACTAATCTCTCAGTTACAAACCAGCAATCTTAAAACTGAAGCGCACTCTTTGGGGCATATACATCCTTTCAGGCTTTTATGTTATCCGAGGCCTGGTGTTTGCAGTCAGCCTCCTAAAGCCTTCAGCTGTCAGTGGGTCGTGGGTTTAGGGTTAGGGTTTGTTTCCGCTACCCCCCAAATCTTCTCCGAAACCCGCTTTGCTCGTTGGGGTTCTGTTTTTGTTGGAATTACCTGCCCAATTTTGGGAAAACGCAATATATACCCAATAAGGAATCCCCCAAAAAAAATGTGGGTTTTCGGGTTCAGGTAGGTTTCTCACTTCGGCTGGAACTCTGAAGATTAGGATAAAAAGTTGAGAGGGAGTAGGGCTTGAAAGAGTCCTTGCAGCCCACGTCTGGAAGCTCAGCCGTCCCGAGGCAGTCACCATGGCCGTGAAGGGCAAGATGGACTGTTTAGGGTTTCGGCTTTGAAGTTCAGGATTACCTGTGGCCGGAAAGACCTACCTTTTTAAGGAACTATATATAGGAACCGTAATAAGGAACCCTAAACAGGTAGGTTTTTTCGGCTACAGGTAGGGTTCAATCCTTGCTGAGTGGTTGTGGTGGGGGGGATTGAGTTTGGGCTTCGGGTGTAGGCTCAGTGTTCTTGCGTTGTCGGATTATGGGTTCCCCTTTGCGGATCTTCGGACGTCCGGTTTCAGGTTTGACGCAGATCCTGGATGCCAAACCCTAGAGATTAAGAGTTCGAGGACAACCGTCTTCGGCCTGTAAACAGTATTCCAAGTTCAGGGGATGTGGGGTTGTCAATCGATAGTATGTGAGTTTCAGGGGTTTAAGGAGTTGAATGATGATCTTCATGGCTTGGTGCGACGTGTTTGCCGTGTTTGCTGTACGTACGGATTTCGGGATTAGGGCCTGGTTCGGGATAAAACTGCGAGCTTATGTGTAGCCTGAGGTTTGCTGCTTGATCTTCAAACCCAATATGTGTTGTCAGGCTCCGCAGGAGCTTTGAGGGGTTGGAGAGCCTTGTCGTAAGAAACGTTGCATGGTCTTCAGGCAACTCAGGTTTCTCGAGATCCGGTGATTAATTGAGTGTCTGTGGATTCAGGTTTTAGAGAACTTATGTATGGGTGTGTAGATCGATGAATAACGTGCATTGGGGTTCAGAAGGGGCTGCCACAAAGTCGGTAAAATAATGGTCCAACACCTATAAATCTTATAACCTGCCATATTTCTGCTGACTGTTGGGGGTCCAGGTAAAGCCTTAAAGCCCTAGCGCAGTCACTCGAACTGTTTTGGTGATGGCATCCGCCGTCTTCCGAGCAGAATCGGCCTCAGCCTCCCCCGGGCACGCGAAAGCAGCGAGCGCCGGGCTGTTGAATAGCTGAGGGCTTGCGGTTTGACCTAACGTGTTTCTTTAAGGTTTAGGCATAGTTTAGGCTTTAGGACTGCAGGGGTGTAGGGTTTAAGGTTATTTTTAAAAAATCACCCTTAGCCCCGAGGACCCCCTTTAGATTGAAATGTCTCCATGATGATTGGGGAAAGTATCCCCCATAAAGGTACCTAGGAGCCTCTGGATGAAGGAGATACTCAGACGGTCACTTCACCCATGATCCTGAAACCGGAACTCCCCTGAACCTAAACCCTACACCTTCGACCCCGAACCATAAACTCCCAAACCCTACTAGACCCAGACCCTAAACCTTACACCCTAAACCCTAAACCCGACCCTCACATAAATCTGCAGCTGATGCCCAGAGCTTAGCGCTCTGGCTCATGTAGCCATGGCCTCTGCATCGATCAAGCGGCGAGGCAAGGGAGTTGGGTGTCGGCGTCATGGGCATTGAGAGCTAACATAGGGGCCTTAATAGTTAGAATAGGGTTTGGGCATCTTATACTATAATCATAGCAAGGAACCACAAAACTCTTTTCTACTTATTAAGGCCCCTATCTTAGGGGGTTGGTGTTCTCAAGGCCCTCGACCCCCCACCTGAAACACACGAGTCTGAGCCCAAAAAAGATCCAGGCCCGTGAACGTGCGGGCAGGTAAGCGTGAATTTCTCGTGCATAAATGGGCAGTTCTCAAAATTAGAGCTCCCTTTTAGGTCCCCAATATGGTACGGCACCCTTGTAAAAACGACCCTAAACGGGACCCGAATTTAGAGAACTACCCATATGTCTACCATTCTCAAGTTGATGTCTACCATTTTCGAAAGTTGAACCTGTTTTGGGCTGCGGCGCTCAACCCCTAAGATCCTCAGAACCCAGAGTAACATATGCGCAACCCATTGGCCGAACCACCATAACAATCTAAAGTCCCTTTCTTACACTGCCGGGTTTGGGCCCAGGCTCGGCGTAGGGCAGTCGAGTCTTTTCCCGCCTTCATAGCAAACCCGAAGCTACAGCCTCAAAGGTAAGATGTTCAAGCCCCATAAGCCCAAAAGCATCCTAGAATTCTCTGCAGACCTTTATAGGGCTTCCTTTAAAGGGTCCCTCAAAGGGTTCTATAGGGGCTTTTGCCTGGCTTTGTCCGGGTGTGAGTGCCAAAAACATCCTCGAATCCCCGAACCCTGTGAACCTCAGAGACCCCCCATATAGGAATTTCCTGCAAATTAGGGGTACTGTACCTTAGTTTGGGGTCCTTATAATAAGGATCCTACTATTTAGGGTATTAAATTAGGGTCCCCTATGTTCGGAAACCCTCATGTCAGATCTTTCACAAAACGATTCTAAAACCCCATAGGACCCTTAAATAGAAACCTGTACAGAAGCCCTTCTAACATCCGTTTTAGGCCTTAAGACTCCCGTGGAACACCAGAAACCGCAATGCAGGAACTCCAACAAAACCCTTCTAAAGCTTCAAACAAATTCCAGAATCCCTCCTAAACCTTCAAATCATTCAAAAGCCACGCAAGCCATGTTGAAAGCTTCAAAATCCGATCGGAAGCCCTGAGAATCCCCTCTTAAAACCCTACACCCTAAACCC